GACTGGAGGCCATGACTCCCAGTTTGTGAGGAAGCTCTCTTTTGGGAATCGAGCTTTTCATTAGGCAGTTGTGAATTCTGAAGCAGCGTTTTAAGGAATCAAAACAGAGATCAGGGTGATTTCTTTATTTAGGCTTTATTTAGTCAATTGGTTATTTTTACAAGGCAGTGAGTAAAAGAGTCTCGAGACAGGTATCAGTCAAATGGAAGTAATATCCACAATAACAGCTACCGTTTGCTGAGTGCCTCCTGTGCGCTCAGTGTGGAGTAGCACAGTGGTTAAGAGCTCTGAGACTGGATTCAGACTATTCACACGTGTGGGTTTGAATCTTGGCTCTACCATGTAACAAGCTGTGTGACTTGGGGCAAATTACCTAACCTCTCTGAGCCTCGGTTTCCTCATCTGTATAGTTAGGATAGTAACAGTACCTACCTTATAGGGTTGCTGTGAGGATAAATGAGTTAATACAAGAAACATTCCTTAGAATAATAAGCACTTTCTAATTCTCACTATCCAACATGTAAAACTTGGAACCATGTTCAATAGTAAAAATTAATAAAAGACTAGAGCAATCTAATAAAGACAGGACCAATAAGGACACAGCTCCTTCAGGAATGAAGATTTGGGTCACCCCAACAGGTAAGGAACACTCACCAGGTGAAGTGCAGGCTGAGGAACACAGAAACATGGAATGGGGAATGGAAGAAAGATGCTCTGAGGATCTACTGTAACAGCATGACCAACTTAGAAAAATGAGGTAGTTGTCTTTCTTTCCTTGCTTGCATGTACACACACACACACACACACACACACACACACACACACACTCTTACTCCCTGCCAGGCACATACGTATTTTTAACCTCCTTCATTCTCCTATTATTTTCTACAAGGAGTGTCGGTGGTGGTGAACTTTATAGGTTAGTTTCTAGGTTATATGGTAGCCAGGTGAGATTATGATTACAAGAGGAATTAGTGTCACCCGGAGATGGATATCATACCCTTTCCTACCAGAAAGTGAGAGCATTTTCTTCTGTACAAGGATAGTTGCATCGTGTTGGGTGGAAGCAGGTTGCTGCTGTTATCGTAGGAAGTTTACGTATGGACTGAAGGGCACATATGGACACTCAGGCACTGAAGGAGTGGACATGCCACTCTTTATTTATCTGGTGGGCCTCAGCCGTACACCCACTCTTCTACACTCCACCCTGGACTGCTGGGGCTAGGCGTCTGCAAGCTACACTTCCCAGGCTTTCTTACCAGGTGATGGGAGATCAGAGCGTGGGGGAAGACAGAAGTTCCTGGGTTTGACCCCAATAGCAGCAGCAGTTATTCGTGGTCCCCAAGTGGCACCTGGGCAGTGGTGGCACCTCTTTGGCAGCTCCTACAGTGGCAGGGGCATTGGAGCAATTATCTAATGCTGCATAACAAGTCTCCCCAAAACTTAATGACTTCAATAATAATGATCATTTTCTTATTCTCCTTCAGAGTTCTGGGAGTTGACTGGGCTTAGCTGGGCAGTTCCGGCTTGGGATCCCACACTTGGCTGCAGTCAGGCAGTGGCTAGAGCTGGAGTTACCACAAGGGCCTGCTCACTCGCTTGGCTGGTAGCTGATGCTGGCTGTCAGCTGGTACACTTACACTTGTCCTCTCCATGTGGCCTGGGCTTCCTCACAACATGGCAGCTGGGTTTTAAGAGTGAGTGTCTTGCAAGAGAGCCAGGTGGAAGCCGTGCCACCTTTTGGACTTCACCTTGGAAGTCACAGAATATCTCGTTTGCTGCATTCTATCTGTTAGAAGCAAGTCACTAACGCCAGCCCACATTCAAGGAAGAATCAGACTCCACCTCCTGATGGGAGGAAGGCCAAAGAATTTGAGAACATATTTTGAAACTACCACAGGCAGCATCTCCAGCACCACAGCAAGCAGGTCAGCCTGGAGACTCCAGCCAAGGGATGTTAGCCACTTTCTGATCTCTGGGAGTAATCCCTTCTTCCTCCTCCAGCATACCCCTTTCAATACCTTTGTAACTAATTCCCTTCATTAAATCCCCTCTATGTGCAATACCTAGGATGATTTCTGCTTTCCTGACTGGACTCTGATATATGTAGGATTATCCCTGGCTATCCAAACTCACCATCTGAATTGAATAGCAGAGCGACTTGTAGAAACATTAACTATTCTCATGTGCCAAGAGCCATGCTAGGTCCTTTACCTATGTTATCTCATTGACTCGCACACCAGCCCTGCCAGATGGGTATGAATACACCTACCTTATGGCATAGAAACTGAGGCTCAGAATGGTTTAATAACTTGCCCAAGCACACAGCTGGAAAGAAGTCTGACTCCCAAGACAGACATTTATTTTTTGGGTCTTCTGGAATTTAAGAAGAGCTACTTCCTGCCAAAGAATTCTATTTTCCTCAGAGGAGGTCTCACCTCTCATCCTTCTATACCTGTTTGATCAATCCCAACTCAGACATCGATACTGCAAGATGAATTGAGGAAAAGGAAGAACAGAACACACCTAGGGGAAGTGGAACACAAGGACTGAAGCATCCATCACTTGTGAAGCCTACAGCGTGTGTGGGAAAAGGCACTAGATGGGAGTCTGCAGCCTGGGTTCAAGTCTCAGCTATGTTACTCACGTATATTATGACCCTAGGCAGTCACTTCCTCTCCTGGGGCCTCAGGTATCCCCACCTGGAAAATGACTCTAACCTTCTGTGCTCTACTGCGTTATCTACTTTGCAAAGTAGATACTTTGCAGGGGGCAGATACAGGGAGCAGAAGTTAAAGTAAAATAAAGCCAGTTTATAGAAGGTCTTAAATAGAATTGTTATGGATTAAACGTTTGTGTCCCCCTCAAATTCAGATGTTGAAATTCTAACCTCCCCACTGTGATGGTATTCAGAGGTGGGCAGAGACCTGAAAGCTCACTTAGGCTCTTCCCTCTCCACCACGTGAGACGTGAGAAAACAGCTCTCTGCAACCAGGAAGAGGGTTCTTACCAGAACCTGGCCATACTGGCAGCCTGATCTCAGACTTCCCGGCTCCAGAACTGTGAGAAATAAATTCTGTTGTTTATAAGCCAACCAGTATGTGGTATTCTGTTATAGCAACCCAAATTGACTAAGGCTGATGAGAAATTCTTATTTTATTCTATAAGCAGTGGGGAATCATTTTAGCTTCTTGAGGAAGAACTTGACTCAAAGAAACAAAAAGGTTTAGAGAAGAAAATAGTACCAAAAACAGTAATACAAAATGACAGCAGCAACAATCACATACTGAATGCTACTAGGCAGGGGTCCTATTACACAGGACACTTAGCTCACAGGGTCTTCACAACAGCCCAAGGAGGTTTGCAATATTATCCCCATTGCACAGATGGTGAAACTGTTCAGAGAGGCTAAATAACTTGCTCAAAGTCACACAGCTAGTCAGCAGTGGAGCTGAGATTCAACCCAGTTTGGTCATATCCTAAACCTGTCCTCCTTTCAGTATACCACGAGGCTTTTTTGTGTGTGTGTGAGGAAGATCAGCCCTGAGCTAACATCCATGCTAATCCTCCTCTTTTTGCTGAGGAAGACTGGCTCTGAGCTAACATCTATTGCCAATCCTCCTCCTTTTTTTTCCCCCAAAGCCCCAGTAGATAGTTGTATGTCGTAGTTGCACATCCTGCTAGTTGCTGTATGTGGGACGCAGCCTCAACATGGCTGGAGAAGCGGTGCGTCGGTGTGCGCCCAGCATCCAAACCCAGGCCGCCAGTAGCAGAGCGTGCGCACTTAACCGCTAAGCCACGGGGCTGGCCCACCACGAGGCTTCTAATTTGGGTTGGAATGAGCTAAACCCAAAGGTAGAAAAAATAAGTAGAGACACATTGTTCAAATTTACAAGAGAACCTAAGGGTCTGCACTAGAGCCCTGGGCGATGCAAACAGTGTGAGGTGATGAGACAATTTGAAGAAAAGAAAGATAAAACCTGAGTTTGGATTGAAGAGACCAACGTGATGGGCGAGGTGTCCACTCCTTCCTTGCAGCTGAGCTTGAGGGGAGGGTGACTCGGGTGTGGCACGTGGCTCAGGCCTAAACTCATCAGCCTGGTTCCATCCTTCGGCCAATTACTGGCATAGGGACGGCCAAGTAATCCAATTAGGGCCCAAGAAACTGGACAGAGACTTGCTGGTGGCTGCTGGAAAGGTTTCTTGCTTTTCTAAGAGGGCTTCTGAAAGGAACCCTCTCTGTCTCCCCAAATGCAGATGGGGAAGCATACAGCCCTGGAAGTTGTTGCCAGCAGTCTCAGAATTAAGACAGGAGCCAGCCTTGGTGTGACGTCAACACAGCAAAGGGCCAAGAAAGGAGAGACGGAGAGAAACTGGGTCCAGGACTGCTGGTCCGAATATCAGCTGTTAACCCGCTGAATCGACCTAGCTCTGGAGCCCACCACACCTCTAACTTTTCAGTTCTTTGAACTAATGAGCCTTTGTTGTTCAAGGCACTCTGCGTGGGTTTCCTTTACCCAAACATTCCTACCTGTTATAACAGCGAAAGCTCTGCGAGGGGTCTGTCACAGGCTCTTTACCCAAAAGTCACTGCCACATGCCTTTGTGGAGAACAAAGAGAAACATAAAAAACCTAGATCCAGGAAAATGCTGATGCAACACCTGTGAGCTCTCACTGGAAAAACCCAGAGAACAGGATGGAGACTAGGCAGAGGAGCCAGATGTCCCCGCCTGTAAACCCTGGGGCTGCACGTCCATGAGCGTACGCACCATTTCTTGGGCCTCTGATGCTCATGTACAAAAGATGCAGACCACAGCTAACGCTCTCAGGAAAGCAGGACCCAGACGGTTTTGTATGTAAAGAGGATTCTTCTCTCATCCTAAGTCCTCAAAGGTACTTGGGTCCCCGGGATAAATATCTGACACATACATTTAAAAAATCAAGTATTATGCAGACCAAAGTATCTACAAATTCAAGCAATGGGTCAAAGTAACACTGCTCTGTCAAAAAGACAAGAACACTTTATTCATCTATACATAACATATATGAAAGCAACCAAAATCAGGACGTTTTCCTCAGCCATCCTTTCCACATCTTATGCAGTTTTAGTGAACTATAAATCACTGATTTCTTGATGCCTAAAAGAGAAAAGAAGAGACAGTGAGAAACTGAGGCTTACTGAGCAGATAGTCAGCTAGAGGTTCCGTGATATTCAGACCAGAGACTTGTCTTTGGAGTGGAGCAGTGATGGGCTGTCTGAGGGGTCCAGGAGACCCTGGGAGCCGAAGTTATTCAAGGTCACCATGATCAATGTGAGGGGAAAAGATTCAGATTCAGGCATCTATTGAAACAGTGATATGGATGCCAAAGGTACCTGAGCTTCTGGGGTAAGTGAATCTTTGACTTACGAGCATAGTGGCAGCCTTTGAATTTAGTAGCTCTTTTAAAAAAGAGAAAGGAAGAACAAAGACAAGACTCTGGATGCGAGTGGGCATCCTTGGCACCTCTCTAACTCCCAATGCCCACAACCCAACCTCCCCCAGCTCACTGCTTCTGTGTCACTGCATATGCCACTGATCCGCCCACAATGAATGTCGTTTCCATCACTTCCTATCTGGGAGACTCCAAAAGCCCCTTCAGATTTCTTCTCTAAAAGTGCCTTCCCTGACTCCCCAGGCGATTCAGACTCTGTTCCTCCTAGCCTCACAGCACCAGTGCTGACCTCTAGCACGGCACGCACCACACCGGACAACACTCGTCAGTAGATTCGTCCCTGTATCCCCGTCACCTTGTACAGTACCCAGCACATAGCAGGTATTCAGTAATCACTTCTGAAATGATAGAAGATGCACCTCATTCAGGTATCTGACCTTCTAGCATTCCCTATCTACTTAATCACAAGTACCTGACGAAACCGGAGAAGAGGCTCTCTGGAGGCTTATGGGAAGAAATAAAATAGGATAAAATAAATGGGATGTTATTAGTCTGTCAGATCTAATAGGATCCTATTTGTAGATGGTATCATGGGCTCAACTTCCTTTGTGTTGAGGATGAGGTCATTCAGTCTGTGTTTCAGAGTGTGGCTCACAGATCCAAACAGTGTTTTTCACCATGAGATACAAACTGTGGTCTGTGCTGCAAGTCTGAAATGCACATCCCTGGCAGTACACTTTGTAGGCACTGCTGACGAGGGAACAGGATTCATTCTGGAGACTCCTAGCTCTGGGGCTTGAGTGATCTCTTGAAAATACCTGGCCATGTTACCTGTAAGCTGCCTAGTCCACTTGGGACCTTTTAAGAGGCTACCGCAGGCAGTGGCAGGTAAAAAGGCAGGGTACCAGTAAAATCATTAGCAAATACTTCTAGAAACTCTGGCCTGGCTTGTCTACTGACTGACTATTTGCAAACTGACATGGCCTAATCGAGAAATTGAGAGCTCCTTTCCCTGCCTCCACCCCTTTTAATTTTCTCCCTGGAGCAACCACGCTGGTAAACCTCACCCACTCGAGCATTGAGGCTGGAAACTTATTACGTAAGGTGCTTTTTAAAATCCCAGCCAGCACCAATCAAGACACTAGGCAGAACACAGGTACTTGCAAATGGTAAGGTCCAACACAGCAACCCCAGGGCACTGAGTCACAGCTAGAGGAAGATGCATCGACCATGATAAGTCCCAGCTCAACTTCAAAAACCTTACTCACACACTCCTTGGAACTTAACATTTAAGGTAAATACATAATGTACATGAGCATCACCATGTAGCCATTTTTTGCTGCAAGTGGATAGAAACCTCCTGTAATTAAAAACAGGCCCTCCTGGCCAGCCCCATGGCTTAGTGGTTAAGTGCGCGCGCTCCGCTACTGGTGGCCCGGGTTCGGATTCCGGGCACGCACCGACGCACCGCTTCTCTGGCCATGCTGAGGCCACGTCCCACATACAGCAACTAGAAGGATGTGCAGCTATGACATACAACTATCTACTGGGGCTTTGGGGGAAAAACAAACAAACAAACAAACAAACAAAAACAGTCCCTCCCTTCAATGGCTGTGCCAGAGAGATATTCTCAGAAAGACTGCAGCAGGGAATTGTGTTAGAAAGAGCAATGGAATAGGAGTCAAGAGACCCAGATTCTAGTTCCAGCTGGGCCACAAACTTACAGTGTGACTCCCCCTCTCTGGGCCTTGACTTCCTCATCTGCAAAATGACTGGGCTGGACTAGATCAGGGGTTCTCTCACGAGGGGCCCATGGGCAGGCTTCAATGTCAGTCTGTGAACTCCCTGAAACTGCAGGGAAGTCTGCTGTGCGTGTGCACACGTGCACTTCTGTGCAGAGGGTCCAGAGTTTCAGAGGAAGCCAGGATTTGCAAAAGGTGAAGAACCAACAGATTAGAATGAAGGGCTCCTTCTGCCTTAATATTCTAATTGCAATAAAGGTGGAGGACTTAAAACTTCACGAACTTGGAGTAGGCAAAATTTCCTAAATAGGACAGCCGCTAACCACGAAGGACAAAATTGATATGTGGGACTAAGTAAAATTACGAACTTCTTTTCACCGAAAGATACTATTAAGAGACTGAAATGACAACCCCAGAGTAGAAGATTTTGGCATTACATATGTCCAACAGAGGACTTATATCCAGACTATATGGAGAATTCAGTTGGAAAAGGCAGACAACTCAATAGAAAAATGAACAAAAGACTAGAGTAGGCACTTCACAAAAGAGGATATCCAAATGAATATATGAACAAATGCCCAACTTTACCAGTCATTAGGAAAATTAAATTAAAACTCCAATAAGATACCACTACTTACCTACCAGACTGCCTACAATGAAAAAGACATCTACTATCAAGTATTGGCCAAGGAAGCGCTGCAACAGGAACTCTGCTGGTGGCAGTGTAATTTGGACAGCTGTTTGGTAGTATATACCAGAGCTGAAGATCCACATACTTTATGATCCAGTAATTCTACCCCTAAGTATATACCTAACAGAAATGCACACATACACTCAGCAAAAGACAGGTACAAAGACATTCACGGGAGCACTACTTGTAATAGCCCCAAACTGGAAACCCAAGAAACCATCAACAGTGGAAAGGATAAACTGTGGTGTATTCATACAATGGACTAGCTGCAACGAGAATAAATGAACTATTGCCACTCCCAACACCATGATGAATCTCACTGACACTACGAGGATGTTACGAGTGAGAGACACAGAGAGCACATATTTATATAAAGTTCAAAAATGGGGAAAACAGAAGCCTGGCATTAGAAGTCAGGATAGCAGTTACTCCTGGAGGAGTAGTGACTGTGACCGGGCATGAGGGGGGTTCTGGGGGACTGGTACTGTTCTATTCTTCATCTGGGCACTAGGTTCATTAGTGTATTCACTTTGTGAAAATTCACCAAATTTATGATTTGTGCACTTTTCTGTATATATGGAGAGTCTTCCTACCACCAGATGATCTAGAATCTTTCATTTATTCAGTCACTGAAATACAAGTATTCACTGAGCACCTACATATACAAGACACCGAGCCAGCTGTTGGAGATACTGGTATGAACAAAAGTTATGGTCTCCACCTTCGCCGAGTTTACAGAATTCTACTTGGCCTTCATTAAGCTTACTTTTGGTTTCTGCTTCTTTTCTTTTTTTTTTTTTTTTAATAATTTTATTTATTTTTTTT